GTGGCTGGACTGAAAATAAATAGGGAAAAGACTAAAGTATTAACAAACCTAACAGATAAACAAAAAATTCAACTTGCTAAAATGACAAACCTTCAAATAGTTAAAAAAGTCAAATATTTGGGCATTTATTTAAGTGCAAAATATACTACATTAAAAGAAGATAATTATGAGAGATTAATGAAATAAATAAAAATAGACTTGGAAAGGTGAGAAAATCTTCAATTATCACTCCTAGGAAGAATAGCGACAATCAAGATGAAAATTTTACCAAAGCTAATTTTTCTATTTCAAACAGTTCCTGTTAAACTGAGTAAGAATTTTTTTGATGATCTAAATGCAATGATTTTAAGATTTATATGGCAAAGAAAAAAAGCTAGAATCAAATGTAAACTGTTACAAGAAGCTAGAGGGGGCTTTGGACTTCCAGATTGGAGACTTTATTGTCAAGCAGCTATTCTGCTTTGGTTCAAAGAATGGATTGTATTGAGAAATAAAAGATTGCTTTATTTAGAGGGACACGATCTTCAACTAGGTTGGCATGCTTTTATATGGTATGAGAAAACTAAAGCGCATACTTTCAAAATCATGCTATAAGAAACATACTACTCTCAGAATGGGAGAAAATTAAACATAAAATATATATGAAAATACCTGAGTGGCTTTCAACAATGGAAGCATTTGCTTACCCAAACCTGATTAACTATGATAAACTGGTTAGTTATAAAGATATTTTGGACAAAGATGGAAAACTTAAGGACAGGCGAACTCTTCAACAACAAGGTATTGACTTAACATGGTGGTCCTATTTGCAAATTCAAACAAGATACGAAAAAGATATAAAATCAACAGGATTTTACAAAGAACAGACTCCATTAGATAAAATTTTGTTAAAAACAGATGAGAATTTGATTAAGAAACTATAAATTTCTTTTAAACTGGAAAATGGAAGAAGAACAAGTGAAAGAAACAATGATAGTATGGGCAAAGAACTTTGGATATTCTATAGACTTAGAAGACTGTCAAAAACTTTGGGATAAAAATATTAAGCTTACAAAAGCAGCAGCATATAAAGAAAACTTATACAAGATGTTTTACAGATGGCATATGACACCAGTTCACTTAGCAAAAATGTTTAAAAATGTTTCAAATACTTGTTGGAAATGTAAACAACAGCTAGGCACATATTACCATGCCTGGTGGATATGCCCTAATGCTAAGAAATATTGGTCTAAGCCCCATAGATGGTTGGAAAAGATGATGAAAATACAGATAGAATTTAAACCGGAATTGTTTTTGCTAGGAATATTAAGACCTAATTATGGTAAAGAGAATGACTACTTGATACTGCATGTTTCAACACCTGCAAGGATAGTATTTGCCCAATTTTGGAAAAATGAGAATCTACCATCTGACCAGGCTATAATTACTGAAATGTTAGAGTGTGCAGAAATGGATAGATTAACATTGGAGATGAAAGAAAAAGATGATTCAGTTTATTTTAAAACTTGGGAAAATTTTTATCAATGGTTAGAGACGCATTAGAATCTGAAAAGGACTTAATATTTTAGAATAGATGATTGATTTTTTAACTGAGTTATAATTTATAGGTTGATAACATCTTTATTTTTAGTGATTTAGTGATTTCTAACCGTTAATGTTAATAATCATGACTAGTTGAGATTTTATTATTCATGTTTATTTACATAGATGAATTTATTTGTTTACTAATTGTTAGTAATATGGTTATAGTTAATCCTATTTTAAAAATGGTTGAGTATGATATTTACTCATTATGATCCAGACGGTAGCTTGTTTGTTAAAATATGTGATTATTGTACCTATCCTTATTCCATCCTAAATCCCCCATCCCTTTCCCCCCCCATACCCGCATTGTTCCTACTTTTTCCTTATTTATATAAACTTAATAAAATATTTTAAAAAAAAGAACTCTGGGATGTAATCTGTTGGGTCCTGGTGATTTATATTTGTCAAGGTCAGAGAGGTGTTCTCTTACCATTTTCTTGCTTATTTTAATTTTTGTTTCTAGTTTTGCAGTGGGTTTTTTTTTTTTTTTTTTTTTTGGTGTGTTGGGCTATAGTTTCTTTTTGTGTGAAGACTGATGCTTTCTCCATTGCCTGTTGTTTCCTTGCCATCTTCTCTCTTTAGTGCAGGGCTTTTCAACCTTTTCACCCATTGTACCACTTTTAGGATACGGCAGTATCCGAGTACCACCAGTTGCCTAGCAAGGTGTCAAAAACTTGATGACCCCCCCCCAAAAAAAGGAAAAAAGTGATAAAGTACAGGTAGTCCTCGACTTACAACAGTTTGCTTAGTGAGTGTTTGAAGTTACATTGGCATTAAAAAAGTGCCCCCCGAGCCACAGCCGAGCAAGACACCTGCCTGTCCACCAGGCGGCGTTCTTCCTCCTGTCCGAGGTTTTCATTGTTTTGAGCATTTCTGTTGAGGATTGGCAGTGGGGTGTGGGGTGTTTGGTTTTTATTTCCCCCCCCCCCGTCTGCTGGGTGGTTGCAGCAGGTTTTGGTCACTTCACATGACCCTGGGACACTGTTACCATCATAAATATGAATCAGTTGCTAAGCATCTGAATGTAAATCACAAGACCCTGGAGATGCTGCAACTTTCCAGCTGATTGGCGCTTCTTCTGGGCTCAGCAGAAGCACCAGGATCAGTGCCGAGCTCCAGCTGGAGCCTGGCATTGATCCTGGCACTTCCACTGAGCCCTGACAGCCCCGAAGAAGGGCTGATCTTGGCGCTTCCGCTGAGCCCTGACACCCCTGCAGCTCCAGCCATCTCTCGCTCAGGCTAGTGCGGTGCTGCCACCGGTTCAGCTCATTCCCCTCCCCTGCTACTTTTCTAGGATGGTCGTGTACCACCTACCAGGTGCCAATGTATCACAGGTGGTACCCGTACCACTAGTTGAAAAGCCCTGCTTTAGTGGACCTACAATTTCGTTGACTTTTTTCTTGTTAATAGGTTGGAAGAAACTTTATTATCCTTGATTTCTGTTGCAAATCTTTATTCATTCTGAATAAAGATTTGCTTTCCTGATTTCATCTTTGCATGTTTTGGCTGTCTGCTCATAATTGGCCTTAGTTATGTGCCCCTCTTTCCATTTTTTTGTATTTGACCTTTTTGTCTTTCAGTTGTCAGAGAGATATTTGTGCAGCCATGCTGGTTTCTTCTTGAATTTCTTGTTTTTCTTTTTCTTGTGCTAGTCTGGGCTTTTATGAACACATTTTTCAGAGTTTCCCACGCTTCTTCGGTTGTTTTCCCCTTTAGGATTTTCATTCATGGGATCATTCCTAGGTACTCTCTGAGTTTGTTAAAGTCAGCTCTTTTGAAGTTTAAGACATTCGTTGGGTTGTTTTCTATTACTAGTGTTCGCATTATATTAAATTTCAGTATGATGTGGTCACTTTCACCCAAGGTTCCAGAAACTTCAACTCTCTCTATCACTTCTTCTCTATTAGTAAGAATTAAGTCCAGTATAGCTTTAAGTCTAATTCGTTCCTCCACCTTTTGTGTGACAAAGTTGTCTGCTAGGTTGGTTAACAATCTGTTTGATCTCCCACTCACTGCAGAGTTTGTCTCCCAGCTGATATCTGGGTAGTTGAAGTCTCCCATTACTACTATGGTATGCTTCCTACATACTGTACATTTGTTAACTGGTTGGGAAAGAGTCTATCTATTTCTTCTGATTGGTTGAGTGACCTGTAGTATACCCTTATGGCAATGTCACTTTTTTTCCTTTTATATGGACCCATATAGATTCTGGAGGGCCTTTATCTTTGATCATGTGCATTTCTGTAGATACGTAGTATTCTCTTACATATAGTGCAACTTCCCCTCCTCTTTTTGTACTTCTGTTTCTTTTGAACAATTAGTATCCATCCATCAATCCATTCCAGTCATGGGTTTTGTCCCACCAGGTTTCTGTAATGCCAACTATGTCATACCCATACTATTGCTTCTAGTTCACCCTGTTTATTCCCCAAGCTTTGAGCATTAGTATATAAACATTTAAGGCTTTTATGTCTGTCTATGTGTATGTTTCCCAGAGCTCCTGATTGTCGTTTGATTTTTTCTTTTTTCTCATCACTCCCTACTTTTTTTATTTGTTTTCTTGGGATTTATGATTGGTTTTGTGTTCTAGAGATTCTAATGATTGGTCATCTTTCCCCCTCAGTTTTAGGTTAAAGCCCTTCTAATGAGTTGGGCCAGTCTTTTTCTGAGTAGATTTTCCCCTGTTTTCATGAGGTGCAGCCCATCCCTTGCCAAGAGTCCGTTGCATAGGAAATGCAGAGCATGGTCCAGGAAACCGAAGTTTTCTTGGCAACACAAACCCTTTAGCCAGTGGTTTATTTCTAGAATTCTTTTTTCCCTCAGTGGGTGTTGGCCTTTTGTTGGGAGTACTGATGAGAACACTACTTGTGCTCCTAGCTGCTTAACTTTATTGTCTAGTTACTTTATTAATTTTATTGCCTATTTTTGTGGGTTGGTTATAATATAAGTCATATTTGAGCCTAGATTCCAGGCACTCTAATTTTTATTTTTAGATTTTTTTTATCCCGTCTTTTTTTCATATGCAGCTCATGGCACAAACATATCAATACTCTTTCCTTCTGTTTTTCCCTTATAAGTGAGTTGGGCTAAGAGAGAGAGAGACTGATTGGCTCAAAGTCACCCAGCTGGTTTTTCATACCTAAGGTGGAATTAGAATTCAGTTTCCTGGTTTATAGGCTAATACCTTAACCATTACATTAAACTGCCTCTCCAGTTTATCAATTGAACAGAGTTGATTTTAGATGCTGCAGAGGTTGCTTGAATGATTTATTAATAAAAGTTTTCTTAAATAGCTTTCTGATGCTGGTAAAGAGTGTCTTACATATTTAAAAATGAACCACTTTGATTAACATCACAAGTAATTTTGCTAATTGATAGTATTATAATAATTTCATTTTTCTTTTGCTAACTCTTAGTTTCCAATGTTTATACTGTGAAAAAACATTCGAGGATAAGAACAAACTCAAGGACCACATGAGGAAGAAGCAACATCGTAAAATCAATGCTAAAAACCAAGAATATGATAGATTTTATATTATTAATTATTTGGTAAGTTGTATGTATACATATATATTTAACTGATATTTCCTTTTAATTATGTTGAATTCATACCAAGTTATATTTTAGATCATCAATAAAATACCAACTATTAATGTTCTTCATGCACAGACCAGTAATCATTTAACTGGATTCAATCAATCAAATGACTTTGTTTCAGTTTTTGACTAACTAAAAGTGGCTATTATTGGCTGTTAATTTGGGGCTACAGAATCAATTGTAGGGTTACAAAATCAATTGTAGGATTAACAGCTATATTTAAGAACAGCCTATGCTTTTAAGGCAATTGCTACAAAACTGTAGTAATGACATAAATTATAAAAGCTACTGTGAAATGACTATGGAACTCAGAACTCAATTATAATGCTATAAAATCATATCAGATTATAATTTTTAGATTTTAAAAAAACTAAGTTTATCAATTTTAAAATAATAACTATAAGCATAGTAAAAATAAGGTATAAGAAATGATTCTGTGTTATCTGTAACATACCATAACTGTTGGGAATTGAGAATTTTACACACGATTATGTCTTTTTGTTTCTGTTATTCAGAATTAAAGTACTTTTTCCTTGTTGTTAACCTTTACCTTAGAATTAATGTCAAGAAATCGTCCCACCTTTTTGAATTAATGGATGCTTGACTAATTGCTTGGCATCCGTAGGTAGTTGATATATACTTATATAAATACTCTCAGGTTCCAAATCTTTATTAGTTAATACAATGTATTACAATTCTTCATTTGAGAACTCTTGCAAATAATTAATATTCACCTAGCAATATTTTAAGTTGTTTAGAATAAATATAGTAGGTGTACAAAACATGTACTATGTTTCAGTCCTAGTAATTTGTGAGGTTTAGATCCTGTTGACATTTCTGGATTCATAAAATGAAGAGGTAATTTGTTTGAATATAAATACTTTGCCATTTTATAATTTTAGGCAATATGTATTCCTCCTGCATTAAATCACATGTTTTAAATTGGCAATAAAAGGCCAAGCTCCTGTCACAATGTCCAAAGATCACATAGTAGCTATGTATTCATTTTTTTGCTGGATCACTTGCAATACCTACAGAAATCAAAGTAAAAATTCCCAGTGATAAAACTGAAAGTCAGGAAAGTTAATCTATACCACCAGATTATGTACCTTGTTCATTCTTAAGTATTGATACATGTGTGTCTGTATGTGTATCAGTTAGGTTGAACTGTCTTTGGTTAAAATTCCCTGCAGGGCAGTTTACAAAATAGCCTCTGTGTAGTCTCAGTATGCCAAGAGAAAGAAGCAAGCATGCAATAAGAATTACCATCTGTGAGCATGTATATAGAGAGTGAGGTAGCATCATCCTCTTTTCGCTTTTATGACTTCAGTGAGAAGGAAAACCTATTGCCCTTTGGTGTTTTCTATATTGGGCCATCTGCCAGGACTATCTGTCTGATACAATTGATCTTTGCATCCTTCTAACAGAACAAAAAGATAAGCCATTAAACAACCCAAAATTGCAAAATTATCTTAGAGCTGGAAAAAACCAAGAATTAATTAAATTTCTGAAACATTTTGATATCATTACACCACAAGCCCTTTAGAAGAGAAGAACATGTCAGACCTGCCCCACTTTTTGACTTCTGCCAGAAGAAGGGCAGCAGGATCTCACTAGAGCTCCTGCAAATTCTCCAGCACTGGAAATGGAGAATCCACCACTGGGTTTAGATTGTATTCCTGCCCAATCAGATCAAGTCAGCTAAAGCTGCCACGCCCATCCTGGACCATAGAGATCCCAGTCTTGACTTGATCTTGCCCAGGATAGACATGCAGATTTGGCTCTAGGCAGGTACAGTCTCTGTAAGGACCCACCCCACTTTGCATTTTAAGAAGACAGAACTCTTGGAATAATTCTTCCAACAGGAATCCTTTATTAAGAAAAAGTGGTTGCAGGCGTGCTAGACAGGACTTGGGGTTCAAGCTCTCCCATTCGAGGTTTTAAGGGGTTCCCCAGTAGTCCCACCCAATCACCCCCCTCTTCCAGTGACAGTTTCAGGCATCACAATCCCACCCCCTTTTCTCCTTTCTTCCGTCTGGATGGAGACTTCAGATAAACTACATGAAAGGTAAATAGCCTCCTTTGTTATGATGAGGCCTTTTGGTGCTAACCACCTTCAAACTCTTTGAAGTTGCAATACACACATTCAGTTCCTTAGAAGTATACTGAAGGAAGTGAGGGCCATAAAGCCCCTTTGTTCTCCCCCTTCTCTCCCTCTTATGGCAGAATCCAGAGAAGGCAGAATTGGGGTTTTCTATATTTGATAACTAAAGATGAAATATAATTGGATTCTGACATCCGGCCCCCTCAAAAATAAGAGAGATCCACCTGGAAGAAACAAAACAGGTATAAAAGTTAGTCAGGCTTGTTAGGATACTCTGTGTGAAACTTCTTCAATAGCTTCGGGGCTCTGACATGACGTTTATGGACCCACTCGTTTTGTGAGGGAGGGAGGTGTTTCCAGGCAACTAGGTACTGAGTTGCTCCATGATATCTCCTAGAGTCAAGGATCTCCTTTATTTCGAAGTGTTGTTCGCCCTCCACCGTGATTGGAGGTGGGGGGGGGATTTTTGGCCGTAGAGGTGACTGATGCTCTCTTTTCAGCAAGCTGCAATGAAAAATTGGGTGTATTTGCCTGAGATTTTTGGGTAATTCTAATTCTACTGTTACTGGATTTATGATTCTTTTAATTGGAAAAGGTCCTATATATTTTGGTCCAAGTTTTTTACAGGGCTGTAGGGACTTTAGGTATTTTGTAGATAAGTACACCATTTCTCCTATAATGAATGGTGTAGGCTCAACCCTTTTTTTTATCGGCTTGTGCTTTGTATGCCTGCCTAGCTTCATCTAGTGCTTTTCTAACTATTGGCCAGGTGTTTTGTAGTTTTTCCATCCATTCTTTCAGTGAAGGGATCGTTGGTTCGTTTGGGGTTAACTCTGGCATAGGGTTGAAACTTTGACCGTTGGCTATTTGAAAAGGAGTGTAGCCTGTGCTGGAGTGGACTGCATTATTGTAGGCAACTTCTGCAAAAGGAAGTAAGTCCGTCCAATCACTCTGTTGGAAATTTAAAAAACATCTCAAATATTGCTCAAGTACTGAATGACAACGTTCCGTTTGTCCATCTGTCTGAGGGTGATGGCTAGATGTCAGTCCCTGAGTGGTCCCTAAGAGGAATAAAAATTCCTTCCAAAATGCTGACGTAAATTGCACTCCCCTATCAGAGATGATGCGTTGGGGTGCCCCGTGCAATCTGTAAATGTGCTGGATGAGAAGTTTTGCTAAGGCCTTTGCAGTGGGAATCTTTTGGCAAGGGATAAAGTGCACCTGTTTGGAAAACAAGTCCGTGACTGTCCAGATAACAGTATTCCCATTGCTTTCTGGCAATTCCACTATAAAATCCATGGCTATTTCCCTCCAGGGGGCTGAGGGATTTGCCACTGGTTGTAATAGCCCTGGTGATTTCCCTTGCAACCTCTGCACAAGATGCACAAGTTGGGCAGCTGGCAATATAACTTTCTATGTCCTTTTTCATGGATGGCCACCAAAATTGCCGTTTAATTAAATGTAAAGTTTTTACAAATCCAAAATGCCCTGCTGATTTTGTGTCATGGCAAAGGTGCATGAAAGTTACTCTTTGAGTTGTTGGTATATATAACTTTTCCCCTACCCAAGGCAACCCGTCTCTCATTGTGCACACATTTTTGTTTTTCTGGAACCATTCATCTGTTTCCAAACTTTTTCTGAATTCAATTCCAGTTTGGCTGTCCAGTTGTGGTTTTAATTTGGCTTGGGTTCTTGTGGTTACTGGTGCTGCCAGTTGTGACTCTGCCATTATTGGTCTAGAGTCTGTGGTTCGTGCGCTGTTATATTGAGGCATGCGATTCTTTCTTCCTGGTAAATGTTTGAGCTTAAATTGGAACTGGTGAAAATGCTGGACCAGCGGGCTTGTTTGGGATTGAGTTTCCTGGACGTTTTCAGGGCTTCCAAATTTTTGTGATCAGTCCACACCTGGAAGGGGATTTTGTTGCCTTCCAGGAACTGTCGCCACATGAGTAATGCCCAACGTATCCCATAAGCCTCCTTCTCCCATACGGGCCAGCGCTGTTCTGTTTCCGTGAGTTTCTTGGATGTATATGCACAGGGTTGCAATACACCTTCATTGTTTTCTTGTAATAGCACAGCCCCCACTGCCACATCACTTGCATCTGCCTGTATTACGAAGGGCTTGTCCATGTCTGGGTGCCTTAGTACTGGTTCGGCAGAAAAAAGTCCCTTTAGTCTCTCAAACGCTGCTTGGCACTCCATTGTCCATGTTAGTGGCTGGCTAGGTTTTACTGAGGATGCTCCCTTCGTTTTTAGTAAGTTAGTGAGGGGCAAGGCTATCTGGGCAAATGAGGGGATGAATTGGCGGTAAAAGTTTGCAAAGCCCAGGAAACTTTGTAGTTGCTTTCTTGTGCGGGGTGGTGCCCAATCTAATACTGCTTTGACCTTCTCTGGGTCCATTTCAATGCCCTGTGGGGATATGCGATAACTTAGGTAGTCTATCCTTTCCTGGTGGAATTCGCATTTTGAGAGTTTGGCATATAGGTGGGCGGCTCGCAGCTTCTTTAAAACCGCTCTGACAAGTTGACGTGTTCTTCTTTTGTTTCGGTGAAGATAAGAATGTCGTCCAAGTAAACAAGGACCCCCTTAAACAGGTGCTCCCTTAGAACGTCATTGATTAATTGCATAAAGACTGCAGGGCCCCCTTGTAATCCAAATGGCAAGACTTTGAATTGATAGCACCCCATGGGGCAGTTAAATGCAGTCTTCCATTCGTCCCCTTCCTTAATTCTCACGCGATAGTAAGCTTCCCTTAGGTCTAGTTTAGAAAAAATTTTCTCTTTCGATAGGTGTGACAGCATGTCTTTCATGAGGGGCAGAGGGTATAGGTTGCTTTCACTGATTGTAT